CTGCAGATGGCAGGACTTCACTCCAGAGTGCCAGGGGCCTGCACTGCAGTTCTCTAGTGCATGCGCTGTAGACCCGGGCCACCCCCACCCACGCTTTCCTCCTCCAACCAATTACTATCTTGCTCCTTTCTTTCTTTTTTTTAATCTCAACACTCTGCCTTGACCTAAATATCATCTTAATACTTTCCTAAGGCTGCCATAGCAAAGTATCACAAATGGGCATTTTAAACAGAGGAAACGTGCTGTCCCACCGTAACGAAGGCTGAAAGTCTGAGACCGAGGTGGGGCAGGGTCGGCTCCTCCTGAGGGCTGTGGGGACAATCCGTTTCATCCCTCCTCCTGGCTGCTGCTGGTCTTCTGGCCACCTCTGGTGTTCACGTTCCTGGGCTTGTAGAAGCAGGACTGCGATCTCTGCCTTCATCTTCACATGGCACTCCCCCGTGTGTGAGTCTGGGCCCAATGTCCCCTTTTTTATAAGGACACCACTCACGTTGACTAGGAGCCCACGCTATCCCAGCGTGACCTCATCTTACTTAACCACGTCTACGAAGACCCCATTTCCAAATGAGGCCACAGTCTGAGGCGTTGGGGGGTAGGGGTTCACCTCACAGGCTGCGGGGCACAGTCCAGCCAGCACCCTGAGGTCCTCTTCTCGTGGACCTCTCTGTCCGACTCTCCCTCCTCCTGGGGTGAGGACGGCTGCCTCCCACATCAGCCACACACCGCCAGCTTTCGGACCTGAACATCTCAGTTGGACGGATAGTGAGCAGGAGGCCCCAGGGACAGTCCCCTGCACTGACCCTCCCAGCCCAGGCCAGGGGCCATGCTCACTGCAGCCCTCACTCTTGCCAGGCCCTCTCGATCCCAGGACCATAGGGCATCCTGGGCCTGCCACCCTCCTGACCACATGTCGACAAAACTGCCTCCCCACGGAGGCCCTTTCCCCACAAACTTGGCCTTGACACATTTCACAGTTTTCTCGCTAGGCAGAGCACGAAACAGCACTTTTTAAGGAAGCCGAGTCTTCCCAGGAGCATGGGGAAAGGGTCTGGACAACTTTGGGCCCCAGCCCTCTCCCCATTCTCATCAGGCCATGAGCTCCCGACTCAGCCCGCCCTTAATGTCATGGCACAAAGAGCACAATGTGGCACAGAGCTCTGAGCGAGGGGTCTCAACCCCTGGGGGCCCCACCCAGGCTCTGCCAGCTAGCACCTGGGGCCTCCCTGATTCTCATCTGTAAAGCCAACAGGCAGTCGAGTGGCTATCAGACGACCACTGAGCTGCCTTCCTGTGCGCACATCCTAGGGCACAAGCCTCCTGGCCATCCAGGTGTCCAAAGAGAGAAGACTACAGTTGCTCAGTCGGGGTGGTTTGTTTCAAAATGTCCCTGGACTCTGAACATAAATATGAAACTATAGACGGGAGGCCCTTTGGTCCATATTTAAAATTCAGGATATTTAGAAGTTTCCTTAAATGTGTTTCCAGTTCACTATCGCTGCATAACAAACCATCTCATAACTTAGGGGCTTCAAGCAATAAAGGATGATCACTCCTCACAGCTCTGCGGTTTAACGGGCTCAGTCACATGCTGCTTGCCCAAGGGTTTCTCACGCCATTGCAGGCAGGTAGCAGCTGAGGCTGCCATCACTGACAGCTCAGCAGGGCTGGCCCACTCCCACGGCCAGCAGGGGACGCTGCCTGCCGCAGGCCACTCTGCTGGGGCAGGGAGTACAGCACCAACGCTGGGTCTTTCCATGTTCTGCAGGTCTCCCCAGCATGTAGTGGTTTCCAAAAGTAAGTCCCCAAGGGTGAGCGTGCTGGAGAAGAGAGGCGGAGACCACAAGGCTCCTGTGACTTGGCCTTGAAAGCCCCAGGACACCATTGCCACCACATTCTGTTGACCAAACAACTGAGGACAGCTCAGTCTCGAGGCAAGAGGAATCCATTCTGCCTGTTGATGAGAAAGCGTCCAGACCACATTGCTGCAAAGCACACTGGGTGGGAGAATGGTCACGTCCCACTCTGGAAAATGCAATCTGCCACAGTCTGGTGTAAACCTGTGTGATAGAATGTGTAGAAATGCATGGAAAAACAACATTAACACTTAATGCTGGCTGACAGAATCTTAAATTTTATTTGTCAAAAGCTTACACAGTACTTACTATGCATCAGGTACTTTTTAAGCATCAGAACACCCATAAACTCATTTAATCCTCAAAAACTCATATAAACTACTATCAACACCTTCATTTTACAGATTAAAAACTGAGGCCCTGGGGCGGTAAGGCAATTGCCTGTAACCATACAGCTAGCAAGCGCTGGAGTTGGGATTTGAACTCAGGCAGCCTGGCTCCAGAGCTCATATGTGGCAGTGATGAGAGTGCTCATGCTTCTTTCCATTGGTCTGTGATTTCCAAATTTTTAACAATGAACACATATGAGTTTACAAATCAGAAAAGTGAATGCTCACTGACAGTGAGAGAGAAGCGGTCAGCTGTGCGTTTGTTTCTCCTTGAACGTGGGATTACAGACACAGCGCTTCAGGCTAGACGGCAAGGGGGCGCAGGGGCTGTGGCAGCTCTAGCAGACACTTATCCCGAGCCCCTGGGAGCTAAGTCAGATCTCACTGGACTCACCAGGTGAGATCATGCTAATGGCCTCCCCGGCTGCAGAGCCGACAAATAAAATCTCACCACGCCTCTTCAGAAAGACCGCTGACACTCTCAGAGCCTGAGCATGTCCTGACCATCACCTGGAATATACTTACACCAAACATGTGCTAGTTTCTCCTCTGAAATTCGTGTCTGATGGGGGACTTCCATTTGTGGATCCCTCCTGTAGTGCATGTGGCCTAGGGCTCTGGGACACCGGAAGCCCACAAGGGACTGGTGAGCCATCAGGACACAGGAGCAGGACGCTGTGGAGGAATTCAGCTCCACGGTGTCCTCGCCGGATGGAGGCGGCAGGCAGGGGCGCAGAATTCTGAAACCAGGACTACCTGACTGGGGCGGTCCTGTGCGTATGCCTGGTAATTTAAACATAAGTCAGGAAAGGGTGAAGGAATTAAGAATACAAATGCACATCACTACAAATTTACAGAGATGTGAATTACAGCATAAGGAATATAGTCAATAATGTCGTGATGACTGTGTAGGGGGCCAGGTGTGCACTTGAAACATCAGGGGACCCCTCTGTAAAGCACAAGATTTTCTAACCACTTTGCTGTGTGTCTGAAACTAATGTGGGATCGTAGCGAATGCAAACTGTAATGGGAAAATTACAATTAAAAAATAAGAGAATAAAATGCGTCAGAAGAGTGGGAGTCCGTTATCTGAACTGCCTCCCCTGCCTCTGCTGTGTCTCCGGGCCGCATCTCCTTCCTGTCACACCAGGTGTGAAACCACTTCCTGTGCCGCCCACCCAAGAGGCCGGCGCTGCAGGGAGCTGATGAGGCCAGATGCCTGCTGGACAGCCCAGCCCGCGCTGTCATTACGGAAGGTGGGTGACAGACACGAAGGGCTTCAAGTTCAGTGGGAAATCTTCTAGTGAACCCGGGGAGCCCCTTTTTCTTCCCCTCTGTGGTGAAAGGCTGAGATGGGCTGCCAATTTCCTGTGGCAGCACAAATTTCAGGGGGTGCTTCTTTCCCGAAGGGTCTTGAAATGTCCTCTGCCCTGAGGTCCTGCGGGGGTGGGGCAGACATTAGTTTAACTGACACCCGTGGCAATCCTATTCCCTGGGCAGGGGCTCAATCCAAGGGTGAAGAGCATGGGATTTGAATTCCTGCCCCCCCATCTGCTAACCATGTGCCTTAGACATATGACTGCCCCTCTCTGAGCACCAAACCCTCCCTTTGCAGAAGAGCAGCCTCACCAAACTAGTTCTCTTCTTTTTCATTCTTCCCAGCAAGCACTCTGTCCCAATTCTCAGGTCTCCAACAGAGGCACATTTTCCTGGCCCCGTGCCCCTGCCCACCCCAGACACCCAATACCATTTGAACCCTTTCCCTCTGCCCCTTCCCAGCTCAGGACCTCCCCATCACCGCCACCTCCCCCTGGGCCCAGGGCCTGAGTGAGACTCAGAGCACTCGCCTCTGCCTGCCTCAGCGGTGGGCACACCGCTGGATGCCAGGTCGTGGCAGGCAGCTGCCCTGGCCCAGGAGAGCCTGGAGGGTCCTGCAGGGTGGCCGGTGCTAGAGCAAGAGCAGAGCCCAGGGAAGGAAAGTGTGTGCCTTGTGAGCACTTTTTCCATGACAATATCAAGTGAGCAGGAAGCTTATGGCCACCATCAGTGTTCAGTGAAGCAATCCCGGAGCTGATGTGTTTCAGCGATTTAGTGTCTACAAAATCCTCTGCTTGAGGGAACCCATAATCTTGCCCTGCATGTGCGTGTGTGAGTGTGCATGAGCTTCAGGAACACCAAGTGTCTGAGGAATTTTCACCTGGGTCTCAGAAATCCATGGGGTCCTGAGCCCCAAACCCAATCACTGAGCTCTCTGATTGTGGCTCCCCTCACCCCGGAAGGCCACAGGGTGCCCAATCCTATTTCCAGGATGCAACTCCCAGGCCGAGTTCTGGGATGGATCTGATTGTGCTCCAGATGTTCCGAAGTGCTGCTCTGGTGACAGCTGCACTGTTGTGCTGGTTTAAATACTAACGGTCCCCATGCCCACCACGAGCCCATCATCATTCTGTAAAGAGGCCAGCCGCAGAGAACGCTTTCATTATCTAATCATCTTAACTTGCATAATTATTTCCCTAAAAGTACAATTAGCAGATATACCTCTGGGATATAAAATATATAGATAGCTCAGCCTGATAGAAAAAGTGTATCACAACAGGGAGAAGAGGCTGGAACACAAAAGCGCCACCCTCACTGCCTCCTTCTCCAGATTGAGAGATCTCGCCTTTCCAACACTGAAAAGTAAACAAGTTTCACTGTTCAGCAAACCTCCCAAACAAATATTCTGACTGTGATGTTGACCATTTCCTGGTTAATGCAGGCGGAGGCGGAGCAGAGGAGGTCTGAAGCTGAGCAGCAACAGGATGAAGGGGGCGAACAGAGGAGAGAACGGCAGACAGACAAGGCAGTAGAGGTGAGATGAGAGAGCGAGAGCTGTCCACAAAAGGAGGGGTGAGCCCCAAAAAGGACCGCTGCATCCCAGCAGCCAGAGTGGCTCCCCCTCTGCCTGCTTGCTGGACTGAGAAGCCATCAAAACCCCCTGCAGCCAGGATCTCCACCTCAGAGACCTGCTTCTGCTCTACCTTACCCTGCCCACTCCAGTGTGGCTGTCCTGCCCCTGCCCCACTACCTTACTCCCAGCGCCCTCCTCACTGCCTCCTCCTCCAGGCGGACAACTTGTCTGCTGATAAGCATGCTGCTTCCTAGGCATTGCCCTTGTCTCCAGGGACCAGAGCTTCTAGAGAAGGGTCTCCACCCTGGGTCCCTGGCCAGGCTTCTGGCATCGTCGCTCAGTCCGAACCCTGTGTCCTGGGACCCTACTCTCCTGAGAATGGCCATCCTTTCATTCCTTCTTCTTTCATCCCTAGAGAGTGCGAGCGTGCCATTAAGAAAATGCTTGGAGAACCCAAGGCTCCCTGGCCATGCTGAAGTTCTTCACCTCCCGCAGCTATCACAGCACAGGTGCCGTGAGAGCCCAGCCCAGAGCCCGACACCCGGCTGTGGAGGCCCAGCGCCGGTGAGCTCTCAACCCCGCCAGGCCTGGGGCAGAAGGCAGAGGAGGAGGAGCACTCTGAGACGCGGTGGGGAACTTTGGATGCTGGCTGACTGACCCGGCTGACACATTTGATCTGCAGGCATCTCCAGTACCTTCCCTGTTCTTCGGGATGGGTGGTGACAGCTCCGGGCAGCTGGCCCAGGGGGTGCCCCGCCCAGGAAATCCTGCCCACACTTTCGAACCTACTCCTTGTCTGACCCTTTTTCAATCACTGCCCTGGGGGTGCACCAGCTCCCTGCTGTGGGCCCCATACAGGCAACACTTGGTGCAGGTGTTACCGGACTTTAAGAGGGGAAAGGAGTTCCCTGGCCCGATGAGGCTGGCAAAGTCTTGGTTAAACAATACCACCAGGTTTTCCCGCTGCAGGGTCTAGCCAAACACCGACGCCCACGTCCTGCGGCGTCAGGCTACCAGCACCAGCCTCCCCCTTCGCTCGCTGACGGTCAGCTCGGAGCCCCGCCCCCCAGCCTTCCCGCCTGCTCCCCGAGCTCTGCTCTGGGGCAGGGATTTGGCGGGTGAAAACCTGGCAGCCCTCCTAATTACAGGGGAGTTGACAGGGTGGGGTGGAGAAATGTGTATTTTTAGCTGTAGCGAAGAGAAAGGAGATCAAGAGACACAATTTTCTGTCAGAACTTTCCTCAACTCCTGTTCCTGAACTCAGCAAGCTTCCAAGGTCTTGAACTTGAGAAGTTTTAGAATGGGAGAGAGCAAGCAAGAAAAAGCTGTGGGCAGGGCTGGTGGGAGGGGAGGAAGACGGTCAACATCACGGTCAGAATATTTGTTTGAGGAGGTTTGTAAAACAGTGAAATGTGTTTACCGTCCAAGGTTGGAGAGCTAACGAGAAACAGATACAGAGGCAGCGTGACACTAACTGCCTCTGACACCGGTGATGGCCCTTTGGTTGGAACAAATTCACCCAGTGCCGAGACGGATTATTTCACGCGTCCGTTGTCTTGAGAGCCACCCTTTGCAAATATTTTAATGCCTGAGTTGGCTCATCTCTCCACTTATTGATTTATTTGAAAGCAGATTGGTGTGGAGAAGCATCTGGGAGGAAGGACCCTGAAGGATGCAAGAGTGGAGGGCGGCGGGGAGGAGTCGCTGGGGACCCCAGCCCCAGCTCCAGGCCCCTGGGTCGGGGCCATCTGGGGCCATCCTGGGTGATGACTCATTCTGACCTGTCGTCACCACTCCTTACTCCTCACAGGTATGCAGGGAGAGGAGGACTCTTATCCACACCTCACGGACAGGCACACCGCCTCGCGGCTGTCTAGGGGCAGAGCCAGCATTGTGGCTGAAAGCCTGGCCCCCGCCGCCTGGCCCTCTCCTGTGTCCTGCTCCTCGTCCCTCTGGGACCCGAGACAGGTACACACTCCGCCACCCCTCGCCCCACGGAGGCCTGCAGTGCTCCTCCGGCTGAGCTCTGCCCCTGCCCACCTCCCTCAGGCACAGGGCTCAAACCCAGAAGTGTGGGGATGTCCGTCTGCCCCCTGTCACTAGAATTGTAGTGTTTATTTATGCTTTCCTAGCAATGAATATCTTTCAAAACATTGCAAATATATTTTTGAAAACAGGTAGCTTTAAACAGATAGTTCAAGGATGCCAAGTTCGCTGATGGGTTACAGTTGCTCTGGGTTGAGAACAAGTTCTGAGGTCAAGTCCAGGTTCAGTGGGAAAGAGTCCAGAGGCCAGTGCATAATATCTTCTATGCATCCAGTAGGGTCACATTATGAGCGCATTTAATTCACTCAAATGCAACCATTTGGGCTCTACACGAATGAAAAGACAGAAAATTTTTTAAGTGTGGGTGATTCTACCCATTTTCACACTCAGTGAGCACATGCCCTGGAATGAGGGAGTAACAGGTTCTCAGCACCCTTATGTACCTCCTGCTGTGAGGACTTCAGCACACGGAGTGGGATTCTGGCCTTCGGAAATAAACAGCAAGTATTTTTACCTGCAGCAGACTCCTAAAAGTGAGTCAAATGTATGCTTCATCCACACCGTCCTGTTCAGACACTGGAGGAAATTTTTAGAAGTTCCAACAAGGCACCTCCCTAGGAGATTTTAAAGACTGATTTTGATTACATACAGTTGCTCGTCCCTGGAGAACCCATCACTGACGTCAGGCATAAATCCGCGGGACGTGCCATCCTGGTATGTGAATGAGCACTGGCTGGAATTTACACCTGCCGGCTCCTCCCTGGACCACTTTTCCAGTCACTTAGCAGCTTCCTAAACTTCCCTGCAGGCCTCACTGCAGATAGAAATCAGTACCAGGGTGTAGTCCCCAGAGCCAAGCGCTGGGAAAATGCTTCCGCTATATTGTTTTTCCAAGTTCTTAAGTTTATCTCTCCACTCCACCTCCTACTGGCTGAGCCAACTTGGGCAAGTCGGTAACCTTTCTGCATCGGTTTCCTTATCTTTAAAATGGGGCTAATAATCCATCACACGGTGGTTTCAAAGCACAAAGCCAATCCGATAACACAGAGAAAGGAACCTGGAATTTTAAAAATCACTCTGCAAATGTATTTCTGCTTTGCTTGCAGGTGGTTTTCTGTTTGTGTTTTTGGCTGCCGCTGCGTATTAGAACGCAGACCTGACCCTGCGGCTGGCGGAAACCCTCCGCCGCAGACCGAGGGCCGCCCCGGGCCTCCGTGTGGGAGCCCAGCCCCAGGGTGACGGCCCTGGGGGGCCTTTGAGGGCAATGGAGGTGCAATGAGACCATGCAGACGGACCCTGCAGGCAGGGATCAGTGTCCTTGTGAGAACAGGGAGAGACTCCAGGTTTCTGTCTCTCTCTCTCTCTGCGTGCCCACACCAAGCAAAGGCCATGTGAGGACAATTCCAGACAGAGGGCCCTCACCACAAAGCCGACCGCGCAGGCACCCTGACTGGGACTTTCCATCTGTGGAATGTGCGGTGGAAGTCGGGGCTGACGGAGGCCCCTTCCCTGACCACCCTCAGGGCAGAGACCACACACCAGCCCGACACACAGGCCCCTCAGTCTGTCCCCAGGCTCGCCAGCCCATCTCATTCCCACAAACACACACACCCGACTGCAGCTTCCCCACATGCCGCGCTTCAAACGACCCTTTCCCATCGCACATGTTGTTCTCCCAGTTGGTGGATGACTCCGACTTCAAGAATCTAATCAAAAATCCTTCTCTGTGAGGCTGAATCAATCATTCTATTGTCCGTCGTTGTGCCCATTTCTGTGGAGGCATTTATCAGAGAATTGAATACCTTTACCCCCAGCTGCCGGCGGTCGTGATGAGGAGCCACCACTCCCTCCACCGGCTCGCCGTAGCGGGCGGTGGGCGAATGGAAGAAGGAGGAAAGGATCCGTGATCAGGTCATGTGTTTATGGCTGTCTCCACACAGTTCTGAAAGGGAAGAAAATATGAATAGCAATTTAACACGGAGATTCCTACCACATTTCCACTAAAACCAGAGTTTAGGTAGGCCAAGGTCAGCAGAAGCCTGAAGGTCTCCTTTTCCCCATGCACCTGGTCGCTCAGTCTTCTCTGTGCCCCCACCTGAGCAAGAGCCAGCCTGAAGTGCCACTGAAGCAAGAACAATTCAGGGTGGAAATAGAGCACACACAGTCATGAGTAAGCTAAAATACCAAATGTGTTTTTTTTTAAATTTTCCTTTAGAAAACATCTTTGGATTTACGGTTAACATGGTACCCAATGCGGGTTTTTCCAATATCCCCTTAAAATGCCCACAAAGATACTGTGGGGGGTGGGGGAGGCGGAATTCACAACACAGAAAAATAATGAGGTTTACAGGAAAGTAGATGGAAGTGTATTAGAGGAAAAAACGTGGTCAAGCTTTGCCTTATAATAAGAATGGTTGTGTGCCCCGTGAAGCCAAGCCTCCTCTGTAACACAGGAAGGTGTCTTGTGCTTCCCCCACGGTCAGCCCTCTGACTCGGAGGCTCAGAGCCCAGGCCGTGCGGAGTGGGAGCCTGGGGGGCCTACCCTGGGGCTGATCGGGGCTTAGACCAGAGAACTGTTGCCTAATCTCTTCCCCCTGCCATTGGCCCCCACCCTAACGCCTCCTACCTTTCTAGTCTCTTCAGCAAGAACTCTTAGGAGCTTCTCATCAGAAGTGCAGGGCAGCTAGGGAATGTCCTTTTAATGTACTCCATCCATTCAGCTTATAGGGAACAAGGAAAATAGCAGGAGAAAATAGATGCCTTTTAGGCAAGTTATTACTAGATCTTGGCAGTTAGACTAGAGATTGTACGCACAAACCCAGGCAGCAATTTTAGGTCTGAGAGCATGAGGATTAGAGATTGTGCCTCACGTGGACAAAAACAGGAAAATATCTATCCACAAATCATTAATAAATAAATAATACAGATTTTAATTTGTTTGAAGATGAATACAGGAAACTAATCCAATGAAAGAAAATTGCTAAACAAGAGAAATAGCATCTAAGACTCAAAGGAAGAATTTTGCTCTGAAAGATCACCTCCAGGCACCAGGAGAAAATTTCTGGAACTTTGTATCCTCGATAGAATGTAACAGGTCATTAGCTCTTACAAAACAGAAGGAAAAGAAACTGAGATTTAAAAGATAATGAAATGGAAAGGGAAAATGAATAAAATACAAAAACGATTACAAGTCTTCCAGCATGGTAATGAACTAGACCTGGATGAATTATAAAAATCAACTTTTAAAGCATTTTGAGTTCTCAAGAAAAGGAAATCTACACAGGAGTGGGAGGTGGAGGGAGAGGCAGTAGCCTGAGGTAAGGGGAACTGACTAACACAAAGCCAGGGTTTCTTTGTAATTAAATGCTTGTACCTGCATTACAACCAAGGTGCTAAACTTGTGGCCATATGTATTCATTGGGGGGAATGAACTGAAGATCTTCTATTAAACTGAGGTCCAAAAATTTTATCCAAACCCATAAAGAAATAAGCTACTATGATTAAGAATCAGCAGAAATAAAATATAAACATCACAAGATCTACTAGAGAAACTCTGATGAAAGAGGTCAAAGAACTAAGTAAACACAGAGATAGTCCATTTTCCTGGACAGGAAGATTCAATATTTTCAAGATGTCAACTCTTCCCAATTTGACCTATAATTCAAGCCAAAATCTTAGCACATATCAATTAATTTATTCTAAAGAGGACTGACTGACACTACTTGACCCTAAGACAATGTAAAGCTACAGTAATCAACAAAGTATGGCATTGGCGAAATAATGAACAAATAGATCAATCGATCTCTGGTGAAGGAGCAAAGGCAATATGATGAAGAATGACAAAAATGGTGCTAGAATAACTGGACATACATCCAAAAAATGAATCTAGGCACAGACCTCCCACCTTTCAAAAAATTAACTCAAAGTGGATTATAGTCTTAAATGTAAAATGCAAAACTATAAAGCTCCTAGAAGATATGAGAAAACCCAGATGACCTTGAATATGGTGGTGCCTTTTTAAATGCAACACCAAAGGCATGATTCATGAAATAAAGAATTGATAGGCTGGACTTCATTAAAATTTAAGGACTCCACTTTGCAAATGACTCTACAAAGAGAAAGAGAAGCCAAGACATGGACTGGGAGAAAATGCTGGCAGAAGACCATCTTATTAGGGCTATTATGCAAACTGCAAAGAACTCTTAAAACCCAACAATAAGAAACCAAACCTTTTATTTTAAAAAAAATGATAAAAACCTTAACAGATACCTCACCAAAGAATGTATACAAATGGCAAATAGTTTGTGGAAAGGTGCTCCATGTCCATCATTAGTTCTGGTTTCACTGTCGTGACTTATAACTTACATTCTACATGCTGTACACATTATAATCCATTAAAATTTTTAAACAAAAGAGAAATTTGAGGACATTTTTTAATATGGCATCAGAATTAAACAAAGAGAGAAATAAATAAAAAGCAGTCCTGATTCTGCTTTAAAAAAACAGCACTATGAAATACACGTATCAGAAGCCTTTCTAATATAGTCGGGGGACACTGAACAGCGGGGACATGTCCTGAGAAACGTGTCATTACGAGATTTGGTCCTGTGGACATCTCAGAGCGCACTCACACAAACCTAGATGGCACAGCGCGCCCCACACCTAAGTACGCGGTGCAGCCTGTCGCTCCTGGGTCACAAGCCTGCACAGCACACTGCTGGACAGACACTCGAGGGTAAATGCCACAGGAGAGAAAAGGATGCAAACCCGAGACATGGTAAACCCAGATGTCGACGGCCGCTGCTGGCATGGCATGCACACTGTGGGACGACAGACTTTGTTTTATAAGTAGGCAGAGTACACTCTCACAGTGACAATGGAAAGTGCAGTAGAGTCAGCACAGAAACCAGTCACATGGCCGTTTGTTATCATTTATCGTCAGCACTGTGTCCTGTACGTGGC